CGGCAAAATCGAGGCAATATTATTTATTGCAATAAATATTAGGAAAATAAACGAAGAATGGCTTCGGATAAGGTACGAATGTTTGTAAATTAGATTATTTTATACTTTACACTTTACTTTTTCAAATTTGTGGTAAAGTATAAAATGATCTAATTTACAAACATGTATCCGTACCTTATCCGAAGCCATTTTTCGTTTATTTTCCTAATATTTATTGCAATAAATAATATTTTCATAATGAAACGACGGACATATTGTACGCTTTCTCGATTTTGCCGCTTGCTGCTTGCTGTTCGTTCGGTTCAACTTCAACGAACTGCGGCAAAATGTATTTTGCGCCGGAAGTGCGTCATCTAGCTTACATAAAATTCTTAACCAATAGTAACGAATTGCTGCTGCAGCGTGCTGCGCATGAAAAAGTACCTTAACGCATAAACCATATACATAAAGAATTTGATTGGTCCATTGGCTCATGCATAAGAAAATGGACCAATGAAATTCCTTATGCACATGCTTTATGCGTTATGCAAAAGTCTGTGCTCCCCGCTTTAACGCTCGGTCTATGGTTTCTTATGTCTATGTTTGATACGAATATAGTAGTGTATGTACATACCGCGTATCAAGTGCACGATGTAAAGCATGGTCTACAACCAGGCCAATACATGGAGTAAGAAATTGACTAATCACAGTCGAATGTGAGAAGAATAATCAATTGTTATTGGTCAATTTCTTATGCCCATTTTCATCAATGCAGATTAACTTTAATCTCGATTTAACTTAGGGCTGCGCAGAATAAAAGGAACAAGGAACAGAGAACAGAGAATAAGAATTTCAGCCTATCAGAAATCATGTACTATGGAATACACACTGCTTATTCCATAGTATATGATTTCTGATAGGTTGAAATTCTTATTCTCTGTTCCCTGTTCCTTTTATTCTGCGTAGCCCCTTACTGTTCATCTTTTTCTAATTTTTAGAATTAGAAAAAGATGAAGTGCGAATCAGAGCAAATTGAACCGAGATTTATGCCCATTTCCACCAATGTAGATTAACTTTTTAATCTCGGTTCAATTTGCTCCTCGTCTTTTTCTAATTCTAAAAATTAGAAAAAGATTAACAGTAAATTAAACCGAGATTGTAGACGTGCATTGTAGACGACGCATGAGGGCTGCGCACAATAGAGGAACAGATATTAGATATTAAAAATATTAATCTATCAGAATCGTGTATTCCGGTGTAACTGGTATCTGATAGGTTAATATTTTAATATTTATAATATCTGTTCCTCCATTGTGCGCAGCCTGAGACTTGGCCTGGTTTAATCGTGCACTTGTACGCGTACTAACTTAATTATCTTAATTTCAGCGATATATGTAAATGTATACACAATAAACGTATTTAGTTAAACATTTTGATGCGTATTGTACCAATTTTATTCATCGCTCTTTAAATACATTGCTTAAATTAAGATAATTTAATAGAAAGTAACTAGTTAGTACGCGTATCAAGTGCACGATGTAAACCAGGCCACTTGCGACGCTGCTACGATACGACCAGTGTAAATTAGCCCCAAGTTTAAAGTTTATACTCGGTCAGTTCGGTGATACCGGTGATACGTTCTACGTGTACGATTCGTTCGTATTTGTGCAGGTGTCGTCGATCGTTGTCCATTACGCGTAGTGCTTTTGTGAGAGAATAAAGAATTGTGCGACACGCGAAATAGCAAGATTGCGACAATATGGTAAATCTTTACGCTATGTCTTAATTCAACAACATAACTCGATGGTAATCCTTGACCATCGCTGTCTTCTTTTTTGCAGATGCAATTTATGCTATTGTTCAGTCGCCAAGGGAAGCTTCGTTTACAGAAGTGGTATGTCGCGCATCCAGATAAGTTGAAAAAGAAAATTACGCGCGAATTGATCACCACGATACTCGCACGAAAACCAAAAATGTCGAGTTTCTTAGAATGGAAGGACGTTAAGGTTGTTTACAAAAGGTATATGATTCAATAATGATGTATATAGTAAGCTAAGGTCCGTTTTTACCAATATAGTTTAATCTTGGATTAAACCTTTTGTTCATCTTTTTCTAAAGCTGATTCTGTAACAGATTGGTAGCCTTAAATTTTATCAGTAAATTGGTGAGGTGGACTATTGGCCAACTTCACTGATTCACCAATAAGACTTATATTTGTATTCATAGTCACTAGTCAGGCCTTGTATTTAATGCTTTTTCATCTTTAATTCTTCTTTAGATATTTTGTAGTCAATAAAATAATTTATTGAGTGTCAGAAGATAAATTTAAAGGGGCCTTAAATATAAGATGTGACTATGAAATATAAATATGGGTATTATCAGCTATCGACTCATTGTAGCATAATTCTTAGAATCAAGAGATGAAAAATAAATTAAACCAATATTAAAGTTATTCTGCATTAATAGAAATAGATGTATAGCCTGGTTCCACCAATGTATTATCAACTGTAACATTGATTTAATTTACTCTATTTTTTTTTAATTGTAAGTAGATAGATTAGTTTGATCAAATTTTGATTAACTTAATTAGTGATTAATTTGTAGAGTTATACTTTTATTATTTTATTATAAAATTATTATAGAGAGTTATACTTTTATTATTTTATTAATGTAAATAGAATTATAATGGATCTTAGTTATTTAATATAGAAGCAAATATTAGATTAGGGACAAAGAATTATATAGTTAGAAATTTTACTTGTAGCAATTTCATTTGTTTGATTAAAATAATTTTCTAAATAACTAATAATTAACATAAATGGAGTTATTAATTTAATTTATTTTTAAGTTATTTAGCATTTTTTTTGGAAAAAAATTAGATTAGGAACAAAAATTTTATTAGAAATTTTGTTTTAATATTTTTATTATAGTCAGATTATTGATTTATCAAAATTTTATCAAAGTTATCTTTAATCTGCGATACCATTTTATGATTTGTAGAAAGTTTTTTTTTTTATTGTAAACAAGCTTCTTATTTATGCTTACAGATATGCAAGTTTATATTTCTGCTGTGCAATTGAACAGAATGACAATGAATTACTAACATTAGAGATTATACATCGATATGTTGAATTATTGGATAAGTATTTTGGTAGTGTGAGTATTATGTTATTGAAATAATGTATTTAAAGTAAATTTCAGTTAAACCTTACAATTTATTGTAATATTACATATTATAATTTATTGTTTATAATTTATTATCAGGTATGCGAATTGGATATAATTTTCAATTTTGAAAAGGCATACTTTATCTTAGACGAGTTGCTTGTTGGTGGGGAAATTCAAGAAACTAGCAAAAAAAATGTATTGAAAGCCATTGCTGCCCAGGACCTGTTACAGGAGGTTAGTTACGGTGATGTACCCCTTGAATTGTAACATGTCTTAATTAATAGTACACAAAGGTTGTATACATAGTTTCCTTTTACAGTCAATTTTTTTGCTGTAAAAGAAGTATTTTTAGATCGTTTTATCTTGCTACTAGCTGTTTACACTTAATACATAAGGACTCATATATTTAGCAAAATTGTGGCTCACATATAGAAAGTACAAATGAAAGTGTTGTATTTCCATTTGCATAATTAATTTAAAATATGTTAAAACGATCTATACTCCTTCTTGCCAGTCATGTGTCGTTTTAATTAAATGATCATGATATTGCAGGAGTTAAGCATGTATAAAATCTATTTAAATTAGGTGAAATTACAATCAAATTGCTCTTGTCTCAATTTTATTCAGTTTAATTCTTTTTGCAACAGGGGTTTACTATTTCTTTTTTATAGAAATGTACATGTGAAAAATATAATATTGGAACAAATTTTTGACATACAATCGGTCTTGACAATTATCTATTTTTTAAGTATTTTATTTGACACCTAATGATAATAGATTTATACAGATACATAAATGAATCCATACAAAATACATGCATGAAGGCATTCAAAGATATTAATAATTACCTCTTTATATGAAGAAATTTGAATTTCTTAGCTTTAATATTGCTTGTCTTCTTGCATAATCATTAGTAATATACATACTATATCTATTTAGAGACAGATGAGCTTCCTTCTTTGTTGACAATTCTGTGTTGTAATATTTGATGTTGCACGATGTGATTGAATAGTTAGCTTTTTGCATTCACGTTGATATTTCGTATATATGAGAAGTTTTATTGCTTGTATGTATATGATATGTATAGTCACAATTCAGTACTATGTTTACAAGTTATTTCTCACACGTGCTGTTTTATATAATATTATATATAAAATCAGGTAATTTTTTATTTTATAATATATTATGTTTGTATATCATAAATATTATATACTTTGGACTGGGAGATATTTTCAAAATTAATAACTCATCAAGAGTCTTCAATCTTTCTTTCTATGTCACAAATGCCTCTATTATAAACATAACATTCAATTTTTCTATATATTTTAACGATTCTATTTTTTTAAGCATGATCAACATATCATCTGCATTGTAATGTCATATATTGATGATAGAAAATTATAAGATAAACAAGCTTAAATGTTAAATATTAAATGTTATAGACAATCCTGCGTGCGTAATTGCTTATATACGCTTCTCGTTTATCTATAAATGAACTTATATAGTACTTTATTGTAAATATTTTAATTATTGACAATGTAAGGTATATGTTTAACATATACAGCATTTATATAGTGAACATATATAGTAACTATTGTTACATAATTTATACGACAAAAAAAGATATTTTTTGAAGTTTGTATTATTTCTTATAAATATATAAGAAACGTTGGTCATCTAAGTTTTTGTAATTTTGATACAGCTATAATTTACAACAGTAATTTAAAGAAATAGTACAAAAAAGTATTTTTAATACCTGCTAAAAGATAAAGATTTTATTGAACTCAAGATATTAATTTTACACAACATATACAATGCAAAACGTTTGCAGTTGATTTTATTTATTTAAAAGAGATGATACTAAATTTTTTTAACCTATGTGCTATGACATTACTCTGTATATATTTTTGTGCTTATAGCAGATACTGATGAGTTTAAAATATCGTACATATTGTATGAAGTATAGTATTGCAAAAAAATTGATAAATCAAAGTTATATGTTCTAAATTGATAATATAAAAAATGTCTAAAATGACATTTAAAGCGATAAAATTTAAATTTTATTTAAAATATGTGCGATATAAATTTCTAAACTGTAATATCTATCGAGTGAGAAATTCTTTTTATTGTTATTATCCATTTTGCCATTTGAATAGTTCAATTAATTAAATTGTGTATTAATAATATAACATATATTGTTTTCAGTATGTATGCCATTTAAATTATTTAACATAGGTTGGTATTCAATATTCATAGTCTGTTCTTATATTTAAGGCCGTCTTAAGTAGTCTTAAGATGTTATAAATCACAATCATAGAATTGTATCAGCATATTAAGATATTACTTAAAATAGTCTTGGAATAAGAACGGACTATAAATATTGACCACAAGTATCATTGTTCATTCTAGTCTATTATTAGCTTATTTGAATAAGATATTATAGTTCACAAAAAATAAACATAATAAATATAATACTTTATACACATAAACTTTCCTAATTTAAAAAACATAATTCAATTTACTTAATAAATAAATGGAATAAATAACAAATAAATTTAAGAAAGAATTAATTTTTTCCAAGTTTTTATGAATTATATCGCTCTATAAATGTGTGTATATATATATATATAAAATATTAAAACTTAAATATATACGTCGACCCGCCATCAGAGGTCTATTGATATTCGCAAATTCTCGCAAGTGATGAGAATCTCGATTTAATAACTTATACCGGTGTCTAAGGTAGGCTTCCATTACAATATCTTACTGATGAGTCCAGTAGTGGAAGCCGGGACGAAACGCCAACATTACGTGATAATCTTCGCAATATATTAGAATAATAAAATAATTAATTAAAGATTTTAACGAATCTATGGCTCGTAGCCCTGTTCTCTTATTTTAAATTCATTGAGCCTTATTACAATTTAAATCTTAAATATATATATATATATTCAAAAAATATATATATATTCAATATATATATATATTCAAGTTTTAATATTATTATTTCAAAAATTACATACATTGCTAAGATATTATTTTTTATATTTTAAAAAATGTAAAATATTAATGGTAATAAGTAATAACCGTTAATGAGTTACAATAAAAAGCATTGTTAGTCTTTTAAATTGTAAAACTTAAATTTGAATAATAAACAATTAGGAAATATTAGTTGAATAAAAGTACTATATTTATGAATATTACATGTTTACATGAATAATTACATATAAATATTTATAAAACAAATCAGGCATAATCTGAATACAACATATAATCATTTCATAATAGTCTTTATAGAATACTTTATGTAGACGAGAAAAAACTGAAATTGCTATAGAAATCTCGTAAAATAATGCATAATATTTCATCGTATTGCATAAGTTATTTTCAATATCTCAAAATTGCATTTGGGTTGATTTATGTATATATTAATTAAAATAAATCAAGTGCATGTGATGTTAATAGAATGACGAAATATTCTAAAATCGAAAACAAAGAAACGTTACTAATAATTACATTGCGGATTTGCTTGACTAGTTCGCTCAGATATCGACGATAGTCATTGTGTATGATAGAGACGTAGATGCAGAAAAATATGAAAAATGTATGATAAAAAGAACTGGTGCATGATGACTGTCATCAAAAACCGAGTAATTAAATCAGGCAAGCTAATCCGCGCAAATTGCTATTAACTGCCATATAACTATATGTTTATCAATTTATACGAAAGCATGGCACCAATGTACTTGTATCATTTTTAATAAAGATAAAAAAACATTAATGATATTATTGCCATATTAATATCTTATGAACTTCGCATTCAGATATAGATTAATCAGTTATTTCATAGATTATGATAGTAAAGCAGCACTAGAACTAGTATAAATGAGAAGTGTATTATTACGTTGCTGTTTATAAGTAACATGTTGATATGTGTATATGTATGCCATCAGAATCTTTAATAAATATTTTTCAACAATTGTATTTATATTTTGTAACATTTGTCTCATATATTTTGTTTTCTAAGTAACATATTTAGTTTTACTTTTCATGGAAAATTCCATAGAATTTTATTAATATTATCATCTATGTTACACAGGAAACGGCATTTAAAATGTGTGACACATTAATTAAAATATTTTTAAAAATATTAATTTATGGAAAAAATGTTACAAGTAAACGTTACAAAATTTAAAGTTATTGTAATTGGATGAATTTAATTGATAATAAGCGACTTATTATATCTGTGTTGAGAACAATTATTTACAAAAATTGTATACATTTTTTTCTAAACAAAATAACACAAATGACAATGAATTTGTTAGTAACAAAATATTTTTTTATTTTATTGTTATATTTTATATTTAATTAATAATAATATTTTATATTTATAATAACATTTTTAAAGTTTCGAAAAAAAAATATAAAATAATTAATGTGATTTAAAAAAAATACTATGGAACTCTTTTTAGAAGGGATTTGGTTTAATTTTTTGAATGTCGGTAATATATTACAGTGTGTAATATCATGTGTGTTAAGCCCATGGTAGATAGGGACAAAGTAGAAGTTTAGCGAAGACTAGTTAGTTTTTCTTTGTTTGTTGTGGAAGGACGAAGCTGTGGACGGTGCTCTGCGGGAGATAGGGCTTTTATAGGTACCCTATTGTTTGCATGAGCTTCATGGACAGAATATCGACCAACACGATCGACCGAAAAACAAGAAAAGGCTTACCCGCTGCATGATGCCATTACAACTCTACTATATAAATATACATACTTATAGATTCTCAAGTCAACTTTACTAGTCATATACGAGACGTTTAAGACGTTGTGAATTTTCTTTCTTCAACGAAAACTTGATTGATAAACAAATTTTTTTCTTATTTTTAAAATTTTTGAGTGGCAAAAATGTGATATTTAAAATTTTGTTAAGAAACATTGTTTATTAAATTAAAGAAAATATATTTTTTATATATTTGAAGAATGTAAAAATTGGAAAATTATTCACGAAAAATTTATTATTAGTTTATTCAAGAATTTGGATTCGAAATTGAAATAAATAAAATAAATAAGAAAACATTCTTTCTTTTTTTTTTAAATATTAGTTCTTAGTAACCGCAATTGAGAGAAAGTACACAATGCCTGGAGCATTCTCTGTGTATGTTAATATAATATATTTTTATATCTCGAGGAAGATTACTCTTGCACATAGAACAAGTTATTATGTTACTAACCAAAGGCTGAATTACGATTCTTAAACTTTAACTTTTAACCTATTAACGAGTAAGTAATTATATATATATATATATACATATA